GATGGTGCGCGCCTGTGGTCCTGAACAACAAGCACTTTTAAAAACTCTACATCTTTTTAAATCCCAGAAAGGTGAGCACACGCTATAAAAAGGCTGACGTACCTGTGAGGTGCCCGCTCATCATCTTGTCGTGGGAGTTAAAAAGCTGCCTGTATTTGAGCCTGGACGACTGAGGGACGGACCAATCAGAGGGAGGCTGAGCACTGCGACAAAAAGTGCAAAAAAAGGGACACAATCAATGATCGGACTGATGGATAATCAGAGTAAATCATTATGAGGAGGGCGGGAGTCATTAAACGAACCCGGCTGCATCAAAGGAGGCGACTTTCTGCAGCTTGGTGCTGGAACGATTGAAGGATGAGGATTTGTTGACAGCCGCAGCTGAAGGAAAGAAGAAGAAGAAGAAGAAGAAGAAGAAGAAGAAATGTTAGGTCATAACCAGAGATGTTCAGTAACGAAGTAGAACTACTTAAGTACTGTACTTAAGTACTAAAATGCAGTATCTTTACTTTTTGGAGTATATATTTTTTCCCTACTTTTACTTTTACTCAACTACATATTTTTGATTCATTTAATACTTTTACTTTTACTCCACTACATATTTTTGATTAATTTAATACTTTTACTTTTAGTGTCAAAGGCAGAATCGTTACAGATATGTAAACGTAAGGATAGATAGCTCTGTATGTGAAAATGGCTCCTCATTGGGCGATAGCCCATTTAAAAAAAAAACTCCTGACATATTGAGAAATCATGGCCTTTAAAAATTTACCATCTTATCTGAAGAAGCATATCAAGGTGAGTTAAAAAATACAATGTCGTAAAAGCTAGTAAATAAGCGCTAGTTCAGTTCTCCCTGTTCACTCAGGATGTAGCAGCTAACGTTAGCTAAAGCTAACCTAGCTGGCTAGCTGTATGATAACGTTAGCTAAAGCTAACCTAGCTGGCTAGCTGTATGCTACATGCTAACATAAAGGCTCAGCTAAGGATTCTGACTCTGGAATAATAAATAATAGCAGATGAAGTTTTGTTGATTGCTAATGCAGATGTAGTTATCTGTTTTTTGTAAACACCTGTATGACCTTTCACACGTTTGAAGTAATATAAACAATATCTATCAAACTTTTGACTGCCATTTTTTAATATACACAGTACTTGTACTTTCGATACTTAAGTAGCCATTTTTTAAATACTTCTACTTGCAATACTTAAGTACAAAAAAATGGAGTACTTCTGTACTTCCACTTAAGTATGGTGTTGAAAGAATACTTCTACTTTTACTCAAGTAAAAGCTTTTACATAGTACTTGTACTTCTACTCCACTCCTCTACTCCAGTACTTTATACATCTCTGGCCACAAACACCAAGAGGTGGATATACATCCTTTGTGTTTGCGGTCTCACCTGGGTGGGAAAAGCCTGAGATGGGCGGCATCATGGCTGAGGGAGGAGCTCCGTTAGCGATGGGCTGCGGAAGAGGGGGGGGGGCGGACGAAACCAGGGGGGGGGCACCCCCCCCGGGGAGGGGGGGCGGGGGGGGGGGGGGGCACCACCGGGAGGGGAGCCGGCAGAGATGCTATAGGGGGCATACCTGAAAAAAAATTAAATCATTATTTCCTAAGCTAATTTCCTGAGCTAATTATAAGAGGTCCGAACATCCCTGTAGGAGCCTAAATGCAGTTTATTTTAGTTAGAATATTTTTTTATTTAAAAAATGCAAATTCATAAGTAAGATAAATATTGTTTGTTATTTTATATTTTATTTAAATATATGGATTTGATTTAAAATCCATGGATGGATGGATGATGGATATTAATATTATTTAATTTAATTCAAAAGGGATTTAAAATATTTAGAAAAATGCTATTTACATATGTACAGTTCATTGATATTGTGTAAGATATTACTTTTATCGTGACATTTAAAAACCTTTCATCAGGTTATTTATCTTAATGAAAGGGCAGGGTGGTCAGTGGGAATCAGAAGGAGATTGGAGAGCAAAAATGTTTTGACCTCGCCTTTCCCAGGCTCTGTTGGACTTTAAAAGGACTTAATTTAGTGAATATTTTATGTTCTTTGTAATGTTTCAAGTAAATTGTTAAAAGCAAGAAGTGAGACAGGGTTTACTAGATTTAACTTGGCAACAAGAGGACAATTTGTAGTCTTATGTTTGTTTTTTCTGCTTTTGGGCTCCCTTTATTTATTTCTTATTTTATTTTTTTTTTATTTAATGTTATTCTTATATATGTGTATATCCTTCTCTTATGTATGTAGAGTGTTTAATATTTGATGTTTTCCTGCTATGCAAAAAAGTTCAATAAAAATAAAAAACCAAGAAGTGGACTAGTGGATTTTTTTTTTTTTTTAGTTTTTTGTTAAAAGGGAGTCTGATGAGCTTAAAGCAAACGCTTCAATAAGGACAGTAAGAACCCACAATTACATCTGGATTAGTGCTCAACACCACGGTGGTCTTACCGAAGCCGGTCTGTGCGGGTAAAGACAGGGGGGGCTGTTTCATACTGGGGGGGAGCGCCGGGGGCAGAGGGTGGCCCTGGAGTTTCAGCTTGATGAGTTTCATGGCGATGGAAAACTCGTGGATATCCATCCTGCCGTCACTGTTCATGTCAGCCAGAGCCCTGCGGGGGGAGGAAAAGGTTACTGCTGAACTCAAGCTTTTAAGGCTGTTCTAGTTACTGTTGTTTAACACAAATACAAGTATGAATGGCTTTTAACTCATTGGCTGCCAAAGACATCTATAGACGTCTTTTATGTTTTTCAACGAGAGTGGCTGGGGGACGATCTGCTAAAGCTTGTCCGTAAATATCAGGCTTCTAGACAGAGTATGTAGTAACAAATTGACCCTCTAGGGGGCAGTGCCACTTTTGATGGGAGATGAGCATAGACTGTAGGCAAATAAGAAAAAGGTAACGGTTCGCTATGAGAGAACATGTCGCCGGTGAGACGCAAGTCCAGGAAGAACGGAATAAGGTAGAAACACATTTTTTTTTCCTGATGAAAGAAGAGAGTCTACTCTTTCTTTTGGTGTGTTCGGTGTTTACATAGTCATAGCACAAACTATTCTGTGGCTCTTGGAAAATCAGTCAAAATGCTCAAAAAACAATGAGTTAAAAGGACACGATCAAAGCAAAGGCATCTTACCATATTTGGGCCAGGATGGGCGGGGGCAGCCCTGATTGTAGGAAAAAGTTTCTGGCCTGGTCACCTGACAAAGAAACAGAGGCAGGACGTGAGGGAAGTGGACACAAACGACTACATAAAATGTGATTAAACTGGGGATGTCCCGATCCAGCTTTTATAAACTTCCGATCCGATATACCGATCCCGGCCTATCAGAGCATGTGTTAAAGTTTAAAGTTATTTATTCTACTTACTTAGTTGTCAGACTCATGTTGAAC